AAAAAAAAAAAGAAAAACCTCAACAATGGGATTGACCGTTGAACTCTCCGGAGCTAGATTAAATTCTCCGGCTCTTCCACCCGGAGGCGCCGGCCAAATCATGGCCCAGCCAAAAAAACCGTTTGTGGTGAAGAACCAATTTTTGGCTCTGCGAGTCTTCTGTCCGGTAGACCCTCATTGGGAAACTTTAACTGCAGAGGGTCTGCTCTGTCAACCACTAGTACATCGACACTCCACGGATCCACCTTTTGATGGTATCCACAATCAGCTGACAGCATCATATGGTATCATGGTTACATCTGATGTGTCATTGGACTCATAAATCCCCTTTTTCGTCCGGCCCGGTGGGTATCGGCACAATAGTGATAGCTTACTAGCGGGAAACCTTGACGCCGTATCCCCTGTGGTACCCTGGTCGAGGTCCCCACTGACGTACGAGGCTATCCCGAGCCTTCTCCATTGGTGATCATGTTCTGTCCTTGGTTGTTCTTCCGAGCTATGCTCGCCTTAGTGCTGGTGATCTCTACTAACTGCATATGGCCATATGTGCCGCTAGCTCAGCTGCAAATAGGTACCGATATGTTAGACTAACGTATCACCTTTTTTCGGGCTCTGCAGACTCTTCCTATGTGAAAAAGCACTTGCCTGAAGGGTGTCAAACGTTGGCCAAGGGACTGATAACCTGAAACTCGCTTAACTAGGTTCGACTAGTCCTACGTTCTGGAAGTCAGTTCCCGGAGTATTTTATTGACTTTGCGTGTCAATGATGAAACAGGGTCTCGCGTCACTTACGGGACTTGGATGTCTTCTCGGCTTTCACAGCTGCACGTCTTACGGAATCAGTGTGTGCGAGTAAAAGTGCTGGGAAAGGCCCATGTCGATCGCTCGATCATCTCCTCCGCCAACGAGCTTAGCGAGGACCTGGGCCGATCTACGACTGTATTTATATAAGCATCCATTTAGTCATGCCATGCAACGGAGAATTTTCCGGCGCTAAAGTGGACGCTTTCGCTGATTCTCCTTAGCGATCGGCGTGATATAAATGGAAAGACACATCTACCAGACCCAAAATGGTTAATCCGATCAGTCCGTCCGCACTCGATGAAACACGATGATTGCTAGAAATAGATATCGCGACCGCCAATGAAGCCTAGCCTTCATATGACTAGTATAACGTAGATAATCGATCCTCAGACCTTGATAAGTTAGTCTCGGAAGTACGGCATTAGAGCAACGAACCACCTCCCCTGTCAATTATTGCCCCTTTATGCCCAGTTCATCTAGGACCCACAGGAAACTCCCATGGCGATTGTACGCCATCGCCGAGGCACGTTTCAATCTTCTCATCTATAGCAGGGGTAGTAAGATCGGCACAGAAGTGATGCGATATCGCTGCAGGAACCATCGACGCAAATGGAGCAGGGAAACATTGGCGAGATCCAGTTAGCGCCCGAAGGATCAGTCGAAGATTTTAGATTTCAATAGTATCCTGCGCCACTTGTGCTATGTTGTTTCCCTGGTTGAAGTGGGCCTTCTTCTGAACAGTTTGGCTCGCTAAAGAAAATATGGGCAATGATACGAAAACGAGTCGGTGGAGGGCAACCCATGGACTCTAGACGCGCTAGGACAGTATCTTTGAAACAACAATCTAGGAATCAAAGAGTCACGGGGGAGACCAATTAGAGGTGCGCCCTAGGGAGCTGAAGAGGGAACGACCTAACGGTAAGGGTGGGAGACATATCATATTCTGCCTGAGGCATTACAGCCTTGGACATCCAATCCTATAGATCAATATGTAAGGGGGTAAAGATTCGATCCATGAAGCCTTTAGAGATGTGGATATCTGCCAATGCTGAAAATGCCCCATGTCATGTTGCATTCTTGTTCAAGGCTGCCTTCCTGCAGGATGAACTAGTTACGGCACGAGAAGATGTTGACACTGCGAATCCGCCAGAGTAACATTGAGGCACACAAAGGCAGACATCTCTCTTTGGACTTCAGTTTGTATATTTAGCCTTCAGTCTGTTATCTAAACTACCTAGATGAATGCGTAGCCGTCGCTCTGTTTCGTGTCACAATAGCGATCATGTTGGGTGTGTTGAATATAATCCCCGTTCTCCTGGCATCCCAGTTGCTCGGCTCAGCAACATTGGCACAGGGACGCTCTGTGACAAGCCGGTGTATGTGTCACACAAGCATTTCTGTTGTAAAAAGTAGTGAAAAAATCCACTAATGGTCATGAATTTACAGCTGTTTCAAACGAAGACCTGACCGAATTCCAGCTGTTTGCGCAGTACTCTGCTGCCGCCTACTGCGACCACAATAACGACGACGGTATCCTCGGCAGCATCCAATGCATTGAAGGGGTTTGCCCCGAAGTCGAAGCTGCTGGTGCCGAGACCATAGCAGAGCTCAATAAAGACGACATCCGCGGCTTTGTTGCTGTAGACGACGTCCATCGACTTCTCGTCGTATCGTTTCGTGGCAGCAACTCTGTGCGGAACTGGATCAAGAACTTCCAGTTCTGGACGGTAGATGAGCCAGGACCAAAGGGACTCTGGGACAAGCTGTTCGGGTCAGACAAGCCCCAGCAAGGAAACGATATCTGCTCTTGTTCGATACACTCTGGGGTTTATAGGTCCTGGGAGCTGCTGAAAGACGACGTTATGGCCGCACTCACCCAGGCTAGGGAGAAGCACGGTGATTATCATGTGGTCGTTACTGGGCACTCTCTGGGTGGAGCCATTGCCACGGTTGCTGGTGCTTACCTTCGCACAAAGGATATACCCTGTGATATCTATACATATGGTTCTCCACGTGTTGGGGATGCGCGGTTTGCCGAGTTCGTCTCAACACAACCAGGGATAACAGCCCGGATAACTCATGGATATGATCCGGTGCCTTCCCTACCTCCGATGAGTCTGTTTGGGATATACGATCTTGGTTATAGACATACCTGGCCTGAGTACTGGGTTCCTGGCTCCTCCGCGAATGGCACCGATAGCATCCAGGTATGTAGTGGGATGGAGAATCTATCATGCGATGGCGCACGCGAAACCGGAATCAGCTTTGACGTTGAAGATCATCGACAGTACTTCGGACAAATCTCGGCATGCGGTCCCAAGTTCACGTACCGTGACACGGAGGACACCTGGAGCGCGAAGGATATGGAGCGTCTCAGAACACTGGCGGCCAACGACAATCTCTTCGCAGCCCATTCCAGCTAGACCGGAACCTGCGATTAATCGTACAGCTGCTATACCCACCAGAGTTTGAATTCTCCAGCAGGACTGCATATCTTGGTCATAACGACCTTTTACATTCTGATACTCGCGCTCCTCCAATCTCTGTGTCATTCAACTCTAAGGCACTTGGTTGAAGGGAAGGCCCTCTATACTGATTTAATGTATAATAGTCCATCCATCTGGCATTAATAATCTTTACGCTTTCCACAGCAATGTTATCATAGCTGTATATCTTCTATTACATTGATGAAAAATATATGTATACCTTTCTAGATATTGGAATAGGGGGGTATAGTGATGGTCGGCGCTCAACCTTCGCAACATATCTCCCAGGGACACGAACCTTCCAGCTATGCTGGCGCCAAATGATTCATCTGGTTGATTCCTGTCGACGGCATTCAGGTCAACATAATCTCTCCAGGCTATATGCACGCTACGAACCAAGCCCTTACGGCTGCGTCGGTATTCTAACCTTCTCTGATGCGGGCGTATTGCAACAGGTATGAACCTGAGTATTGTAGCCATTAGCCGGATCCGTTTGTGATCTTTTGTGAGGTTTCTGGCTGCGGTCGAGCTGGCAGTCCCGAAGACCCGACGAAGGTGGCACTGTATCCAGTAAGTGATGGATCGTCGTACGTAACTGGTTAAGATCTGGCTGTGACCGGAGGTATGTAGGTCTCCTCGGAATGCCTCAACTCCAGGCTCCAGGTCAATGACGAATAGACCCAAGGCGGCACGGGTTATATGTTGGTCACCAAGATACCACGTGTTATATATTTCTAGACTACGAACATGCGCACAGATATCAAAGCCTTGAATTCGACGGGATATATATTTCATGCACACAACTAGCAAAGACAATGCCATCCATAGCATCCATCACGGCGCGAACTGTAGCCACCCTGTTCCCTGCCTCAATTACTGTACAGGTAATCTTCACTTGTACACCTGCAGGCGGAGAGCGATGGAACCGCAATCCCAATGAGCGGCTCACCCCGAGATTCCAACGATATGGAGTGTTGCCATTAGTTGTACGTCCTGTACAGATCCATGCCAGGGCACAGGGCCGTGCAATATCGTATTACCAGACAATGTTATTATGGAGGAAAATATTCTTGCAAGAAGATTCATTGGTATAGGCTGCCCGGTGAGCCAGAGGGAATCCTTCCACTGTGGATTTGAAAGTTGCGATAGTCCTCGGATGACGGTACTCGAGCAGATTCAATATTAGTCATATGCAGAAACAACATCGTTGCAACAAGCCAAGCAAAGGAGAAACAGGAAAACTAATATTATCACTTGACTAACCTGACCTGTCCAGATACCCAGTCCTAGTTTCCGATGTAGTAGAAGTAGTGTTTTGCCCTCGATGCCAAGAAGCTCGGATGTGCGCTGTTTTTCCTGAGCATGACGATTACAATGTCGGCCCATGGCCCCTGCTAGGTGCATGGTAATCTTTACTTCTCCGTGGTTGAGCATTGATTTGGAAGCGTCGAGGGATGTCGGCCTGCGTAGTTCCCGAACTCAGTCGCTCGAGATGCCTAGCTAGCATCGAAGGCTAGCGAGATGTTCGAGGAGATGAATATTCCTGGTAAATCTTTGGTGAGAAGCTTTTGCTGTGGCATATTGTCTATGACTGCAGAGGGTAATCTGGCAGTGAATGGAAAAGGAGCGGGAAGATGCAGATTCACTTGTAAGCGTGTCTTTGTTGTTCTTGGTCTTGTTGTAGTCCAGCCAGGCCAACACCCAATCTCTTCTTTCCCCCTCTTCTGTTCTTTTTGTCTTTGCCTCTCTCTTCCTCTCTTCCTCTCTTCCTGACTCCCAGGTTGTGTACTATCGAATATCCCCATACGCTGACACCTCAGGTTTCTCTGTCGTATCCCTAAAAGCTAGACCTTCTCATTTGAAGCAGCTTACGTTTCTCAATCATCTCAAGTGAGCCACCATGGGTCGCTGGGGTTGGCGTAAGTCCTGTCACCACCACTGTCACCTTTCCCTGGAGCTACAGCTTGACTAACCTCTCTTCTTTGCTAGGTCTTTTTGAAAGCGACCAGGACCTGGACGCCGCCTGCGGCCTGGCAGAAGGCCTGGGGTTTGAAATGGACGACTGGGAGCACACAATGAGCTCAATGGTGCACCAGACCGACATGCTAGCTGGCGCGGCGGCACGTGAGTACTACAAGACCGAAGAGTACAAACAGGAGCTAGAGAACGAGATCGTGCCCTACATCCGCGCAAAGCTCGATACCGATAACCTTGGCGACAGGCTCTTTGCTGCTGCTCGTACACAGGAGAACAATCAAACGGTTCCTTGTACTAAATACAGGACGATCATCTTGGGCGCGCTAATGATGCGGGCCGGCGCAAGGATCAGGGCTGACGACTTGCAGCATCTGCGAGACCTGGTCCCACAGATTCAATGCAACTCGCAGTTTGTCTTGCCTCTCTTCGATGAGGGCTTTCGTAGTCCCGGGAGGGCTCAGTTTCTCGCTGCTCTGGACCACTACCAGGCGGGCGTGCCACGCAACTATCAGGAGCCGAGGTAAGGGTTCCCTCTTTGGGTGTCGCTTTAAGATATGGAGTTCTGCGCTAATGACATTGTTGCAGCTGTTTTCACTGTGGACAGGTTAGGGGTGATATCGGCCATGCCTTGGTTCAGTGTGCAAGATGCCGTGTTGCCTACTATTGCGACAAAGTAAGACTCTACAGGTTTCACCCCAAGAGCTGTTTGAAATCAATTACTGATCCTGGGTAGGAGTGCCAGCGCCACCATTGGCAGGAGCACAAGCCCAGCTGCGTTAACCCTGAGGAGCGCAGGATGGCTAACGTCTAGAGGGAATCTTTCTTCATGGTAGGTTCTCTGGCATACAGGTAGACATCAGCCTTCTAGTGATGGCCTCGGTGCTGGTGATATGTCCCGTAGGCAGTTTCGTTCATCTCTGGAGCTCTCTGTATGTTCCCTCCTGGGGATACGTGGCTATCTAGCGTTTCATTTTACTGTGCCACATTGCCTCCGGCGTTTCATAGTCCCTTTATTTGATGGTATTCGGTTTCTAGTGTCAAACCCACCGATTCCAACATGACATTCTATGATCATGTCATCTGTTTTTATCATGGAATAACAATCTAGTCTATTCACAATGCGTATTGAAGCCTCCTAGCAGTCACAGAAGGAGCAAAATGAATCACTCAACTTCCATTTCCCACATCTCCCAAAGAAGTTGTGGAGCTAGCAACCCGACAACACTACCAGTTTGATTAGATCCGCCCAGCCACCCACCCGTGCTGCAAGCAATCCGTATTCTGTATTCTCCTTGCTAGTCGGCCAACGTGGAAACCACGTTCTCAGTAGTGAAGTTACATTCACCCTGTTCTGGGCTGTGAGTCTTCCACAGCCCAACCTTGACATTGCGATTTCGGCTGTTCCTGCAGCACATCATCTTGAAACAAATTATATTAGAACCGATGATTCCCTTCCTTTCCGCCGTCTCAGATCACACAGTTCAACTCACAACTGCTATGCAACCATCCAGTGCTCTACCGGAGAAACCAGGCAAGATTGTAGATCCTGTATCTGCTCTTAGTCTTCATCTTATGTAATGAGAACATCTTGTTGAGGTTGATATGAGAGTAGAGGAGGGAGTGTCGAGAGAAGGGTACCGTAACGACATGGATACAATGTAGCGAGAGCAGAATCCATGGAGTGTATTTACCAAGTAACAACCTTTGGAGCGTGCTGTTGCCGCTCCCCCCGCAACCCAGTGGCGGCCTGGTCCTGGGAAACCTGTTAGAAGCTCTCAGAGCAAGTAAGGAAAGTCTCCAGCATCTATTGATGCAAGAATGGGCGCGGGAGCATGGCGAAGTCTTTCGTGTGCGCCTCGGTCCGGTGACGGAGTATTTTCTCAATTCGGACCGCGCTGTCAAGGTGCCGTATCGCGTTTATGTCACGGCGTGGGAAAGGTAATGCTGATCGCTCGCAGGAGATTATGGATCGATCATCGGCGATATCATCAGAGCGCCCGCGGTGGATTGTCGGCAACGAACTCATCTGCAACTGGCTCAACGTCCTCTTGCTTCACGGAAGTGATCCGCGTTGGAAGGTAAGACCAAATTTCAGATCTGGCCTGTCCACCGAAGCTAAGCTTGTGTTATAGAACCAGAGACGCGTGATCAATTCCTATTTGACAAGCGTTCCGCGAGCGGATGCTGGGGTACCGTAAGCTAATTGCTGATTATCTATATGCGTCCTGAACACCTACTCAGGTTGATTGTAGGATCCTTCAATATGAGACAGCAAGGTTTCTTTATGATATTGCGAATAACCCAGAAGCCGGTCAGGATGGTGTTCGGATACTATGGTTGATTGCTCGCTATACGCATAGTGCTTTCGCAACACAGACCTTTGGCATGGACGTACGTGCTCTCTTCACTTCTTCCTTCACTTCTTCTCTCGGCCGGCCTACTGACAATTCGTCGGATAGATACCTAACGCTGATGATCCTGTTATTGAATATATACATGGTAAGTACTCTCACTTTCTCGTACATAACGGATCTGACCTTCAAATGTAGAGACAGGTCTGGCCCAGATACTGGGTAGGTTGTAGATCTATCGCAACGGATGACAACGGTTAATTTTCGGTGCCCTAGGTACCATCCCCGGAATGCACATGGTTGATATTTTCACGTGGCTGAATTATCTACCTCTCTGTCTCAAGCCATGGGAGCGAGATGCCAGGAAACGATTCAAGCGAGACTTGGAATGGTGCATGGCGCGACTGGAGGTACGAATTCAACAGGTTCAAAATACAATTCGGCGTATATCATCTGACTGCTTCTCTGCGAGTAGAGTATAAAAGATCCCGCATTTGCAGGGCAGTATATGGCAGACGCCTTTCTCCCTTCCGTCATCCAAGCCTCCGACCGTGGGGGCTTCACCACGGAGGAAGAAGCAGCCTATCTGTCACTTCAGCTTATCATTGGCGCTGCGGACACGGTAGGCTATAAAGCTATTTCTCGGTTACTGGAACTAAATATCTCCTGATGTATCACCCACTCGTAGAGCCAGATCTCGACTTGGTCGTTCCTCGAAGCGATGCTACAATAACCGGACGTCCAGCAGAAGGCACGAGCTGAGATTGGTATGGTGAAAAGGCTGCCTCCCCAACATATCTGCTAATTTCTTTTCTCCAGGGGCGGTGGTGGGCGATCGCCTACCCGATTTTGCTGACCAAGAGCACATTCCGTACATTCGATGCATCGTGAAAGAGCTCTGGCGGTGGCGGCCCCCTGTGTCCCTTGGCCATCCACACGTCACCACGAAGGCAATAATCTATAAGGGGCAACAGATCCCTAAAGATGCCCGGCTGCATCTCAACGCATGGTGAGATAGACCCTTCTTGGAAAATTAAACATTTTCTAACAGAGTATCTTTCCAGGGCCATCTCACACGATCCGAAAAGGCACGAAAACCCAGATCGTTTCTGGGCTGAAAGATACGCTGATGACCATACAACAGTATGTAGCACTCATTCGGAACAAGGTCGTCCATGGCTGACTGGACTTTCCAGACAATGCAGAGTATCAACTCGTCGGACGTGACCAAGCGCGATCACTTTGCATTCGGTGCGGGCCGTCGTATTTGTACATCAACCACCGCCCATTGGCGAGCCTACTCGGCTGACACATACTAGGCCCCGGCTATCACGTCGCTGAACGATCACTCGCCATTGCGATGATGAGGATCCTCTGGGCCTTCGAGGTTAAGTGGGCCGAGGGGACAAAACACCCTGTCGATCAATTGACGTACACGCGCCGCTCCGAGATGCCTGGAAATCCATCGTCCAGACTGCCCGTCGCACTGCGAGTCTTGAACCAGAAAAAGGCAAAGATTATCAATAACACGTTCCAGGCGCTGCAGCAAGAGCGATTACCTATAGTCTGTGCCACCCTGCATGAAGCACTCTCCGGGACGCCTTGACCTTGCTAATGTGGTTTAGGCCAGTCTGTCCTGAAGGCGACTCCTCTCACGCTATAAGTTGCAAGCCGCTAAATTATGACAATGGTACTGTCCCGCTAGTCGCAGTTATTCAGCGCATATTTCAGCATCGGTGAAGGCAACCGTCAATCTCTGCTATTGCGAACCCTGATCTTTACACCGGCTTGTGTATTCTTCGTGTGTGCTTAAGGTCTATTTCCATCTATATCAGAATTAGGACCTTATAGTTCTGAGGGGAGCCAGTGAAGGAAAAAAAAAGGCTGGTTAATACTTGCATGTCGATTAACTTGGGCCGGAATCAACTTGAATCAATCGCGTTCAACTCGACTCCTTCGTAGGCATAACGAGCTCGGTAAATGGGGGAGCAGTGTTCGGCTTTCACTAGATGTCCAACGGTTTGATGTTGCGATCGTGTTCTCACTCTTGATCTATAAATTGCTATTAGGCAGGATACCAACTCCTAAGTGAGAGCCTCTTTTCATTGTTGTTGTCCCAGTTGAGAGTGGGGCTCGATCCTGTCCATTAGTAAGGGATAATTGTCCAATCAGCGGAGACCTTCGCCCCTTTTTTACAGCCGGACTAAATCGGGGTTCCAATTTGGCCTTAGGCATCAGTGCTGTTGTTCCATCCTCGTCCCGGAATAAGCTCATTCATTCCCAATATATCGCAGCTTGATTCACCTGCTTTACCTAATTTTGAGCTAGAGAAGACTGACCTGGATCAAATGGACTGTTTTTTGAGAGCTGTAACGAGAAACATTCGGCGAACGCGACTGTCTTCCAGAGACCGCTCTACCGTTGCGCACATTATCCCTACGGAAACCCCGATCGAGGAAGAGACCTTACCTCATTGCAAACCATCGCATTATCATCCAGTGGAAATCGGGGACGTATATCACACTAGATATCAAGTTGCGGGAAAGCTTGGGTATGGAACATATTCAACGAGCTGGCTCTGCCGGGATCTCCAGTGCGCCCCTCCCAGTCCAATCAATCCTAGAGGGGCTATTACGAGTTATGAATCAAGAGCCAATAACTACACGGTATTGAAGGTATCGACCTCTTTGCCAGACCATCCCACTGCGACAGATCGGGAGTTAAGGGTCTGTGAACACCTGGCAAAAGTTGATTCTTCACATCCAAGTCAGTTACTGGTCCGCGAGCTGTATGATTCATTCAATGTCCAAGATCCTTAGGGCACACATAGGTGCCTTGTGTTGCAACCGATGGATATGACACTTTTTGAAATGATGGGGATGAATCCAAGGCCATTTGGTCTCCCTCTGCTGAAAATGACTGTCCGGCGACTTCTATTGGCCCTTGATTTCTTGCACGCGGAGGCTGAGGTTATTCATATTGGTAGGGGCTTGCGCTCTTTGACCGTTGAATTTGGAACTAAGATTCACTAGATCTCAAGACCGACAATTTGATGCTCAGCCTAGAGGATACCTCCGTGCTGGTGGACTTTGTAACAGCGGAATCCGAAAACCCAAGCCCTGGGAAGTTGATTGGCCAGTCACATATCATTTACAGCAGTCGAAAGTTTCGCAGGCCCACCGAAGCCAAGCACTACAGTCTCCCAATCCTATGTGACTTTGGTGAGGCCAGAATTGGCAAAACGCAGGAGTCAGGGCCTTTCGTCCAGCCACACATATACCGAGTACCGGAGGTTATTTTCGAAATGCCTTGGGGAAGCGCTATCGATATCTGGAATCTTGCAGGCCTTGTGAGTCAGGCTACCAGTGTTTCGTGTTGCTGCCCTGGCTTACTGATGATCGATTAGATTTGGGATCTGTTCGAAGGGCAGCATCTGTTTGGAGATATATTCGATGCCAGAGGTGGACATGACCCGTTCAGGTATCTCGCACTTATGGTAGCCTTGATTGGGCCGCCGCCACCCGAATTTGTGAGGCGTAGCGAGACGATGGGGCAGTGCTTTGATTCGAGCGGTTGTTCCCATTCCATACCATTTCCTCTTGGCTCTGAAACTGACATAGTTTCAGGTGGCTGGATCGCTCACCATGAAGCCCCTGTACCCTCCGTTTCATTGGAGGCCCTGGAAAAGCGGCTCGGCGGCGAGGAGAAAGAGTTATTTTTAGCATTCGTTAGGCCAAACAGCTTCTTAAATATCCGTTCTTGCTCTAGCAGCCGCTTGTCCCAGATGGGGACATCTCGCATCAATTATATACTGCGAACAGGCGACAAGAAGTTCATTCAGGGCCTCAGACATTATCGACGTGACTTATTCCTACCTCATAAGGCAGAATATGGTGCCAACAGTCAAAATTGATTATTTAAACACGGTCGTGTCAGGCATCTTCCCGGTACAGTACTCCTGCTCTACCAAGCTATACCTCTCATTATATTCCGTGCTCTATTTTACTCGTCTCCTCGCTCTCGGCCCCTCTTTGCCTAGTCGTCAGCCTCCATTTCTATCTCTCTCGATGACCTTTCGAGTCAGTCCTGTCCCTTGGCTGCGTGCAATGGTCAAAAATAGGGTCAAGTTCGGGCGATAACCCCCGAACTGCTACTCGTTCAACTCCCTACAAGACTAATCCTCACGAGCGAATGTAGAGAATCTGCGAACCTGAAGAGGCCAGATCTACTCCGCCGCCTTTTTCCCCTCCTTCGGGTCAACCCACTCACCAAACAGAATCTCATCCCGCAACCAACTAATTAGCAAACACGTCGTCCCCGGTCCAAGCAGGAGAGAGGTCCCAAACGCAGCGGGGAGGAACCACGACCACCGGAACACTCCGCCGCGCGACTGGATGGTAGACCAGGCTCCTTGCAGCTCGAGGGCAACTACCACCAACACCACCAGATAGGCGATCAACTCATCCCACAACAGGAATCCCTTGACCCCATCTCCAGGAGTGGTGGCGGGGGACAGGGCCAACGGGGGCACGAAGACGGCGGACGGGTGCAGCTCTGCGCGATAGGCCGGGGTAAAGATAGACGGGAACAAAATAGTAGAGAGCGAGACGCCCAAGACGGACCAGTGAAGGGCGACGCTGATGACGAGGGCGGGGATGTTGGCGGCGCGAATGGCATGGATGTGCGCTCTAGGACCTGTCGTCGTGACCGCAGGAGAAAAGATGGATCGGAGGATGTAGAGCATGGGGAGGACGAGCAAAGGGTACATGTTCCAGGCGCCGATGGCGGATTGATGCGCGGTGCTGGCGGGGTTGGAGGAGAAGACTCCCATCAGAGCTGCAGGGATGAGATACCCAAGGATGATGGCGGGTAAGAGCAGCTGTTTGACCAGCGCCGGCGAGGAGACTATGGAAGCACGCTGCAGTAGATCGAAGGAGCCACCGCGGAGACTTTGGACTTGGGGACGGTGGGTGCTGATGTGATGTAGCTGAGCGCCCAGATCCAGCCGGTCACGCCTAGGGAGCAGACTTGGAAAAGGGTGAGCCAGAGGGTTGGCCTTCAGCGGCTTGCATTAGATTCTTGCTCGGTGGTTCATGTGGTTGATTATAGCATTGTAGGGCTGGCTTACCGCACAAGACTGGGTTTGCTGCCGCGCTGGGCATTTGTGTAGGCGATCACAAGGCAGGGGAGCAGCTGTCCCAAGAAATACAGAGCCACCGCGGTGGAGGAAGGGTGGGAGCCGTCCACGATCTCATACCAAAAGACCACCAGAGTGGAGATGATGTGGTCAATGGGAATGCGAATTCCCGTGAAGGTCCGCTGGAGAAGCACCTGGGTGCCCGGGAGTTGGCCATTGGGGTCATCCAGCACTTTGGTCAGGAGTTCGGTCGACCCGTCGAGGGCAGTTCGGCCCCAGGTGCCCAGAACGCCCACCACTCCGAGGGCAATCAAGATAGACTTGGCAGGCAAAAGCGTTGACATGGTGGACTTGGAGATCAGAGAATGACGATGGTGAAGTTCGTCAGTCAACCTGGGAGATGCGGCGGCATATTAAAAGAAGCCCAAGCTCGGTGTTTGCGAAATTGTGGACTTGTGGTGAGACCTTGACAGGGATGGGGGAAAAAAGAGAAAAACGAGAAAAAAGACAGAGAGAGGCAAATAGAATCCTTCGTGAACGACACCCCTGCATGACCCTTGCAAAATCCAACAAGTGAGGCAGCCAGCACAGCATCTGCTCGAGACTAGCAGCGGGTTCGCCTTGTTTAAGTAAAGGCGGGAAACACGTACCCCACCATGACAACACTAATACCGACACAAAACATTCTTTAACAGTGTCAGCACCATAGGCAGACAGGCGCAAATAATGGCACAGTCAAATTCCACCACGCCCAACTACGTCATCAGGAGCAAGACGTTTAAGAGGAACACAAAAGCATTGGATGTCGATGGAAATGACCCATACTGAGCGGCCGGGACAGGAGGCCTTACAGGATTCATCGTTTATATCCAGCTTACCAACCAACCACGATCCTGCGTATCATGCTTCGCCACACAGCCGCTACAGACAGAGAGGGTCAGCAAGCAGTCCACTGGAAGGAGCGTGGGGTCGAAATTCTCCACTTACGATGCACCCAGGAGGAAAACAAAAAACAGTTGTCGCTTTCGTTTGGGGCTCAGATTGAGTTCCCAGACTAGCGGTTGCGGGCGAGAATCACAATATTGAGCGCCATATTGACCACGCCGTAGGAGATCCAGAAGGGCCTGTAGACGATGTGAGAATGCGGTACCCAGGACTTCCACTCCCCAACGACAGGGTGCGAGTCGAAGATCAGCCTGCAGGCCGTCACAATAAACCACCCAACCACAATGGCGCTGAGAGCCCATGTGGCGATTCTGGGTGCCCGGTTGATAACAAAGATGCGATGGTAGAAAAGAAAAACGGAGGGTTTATCCAAGGCTAGGCCAGCGGCAGCCAAGACACCGGCGCCGATAAATGTCTATCCCTGAATGTCAGCACAGATTACAGGTGGATTACAGGTGGCCACGAAGAAGGGAGGGACAGATTTCTAACTTGAACAAATGGCTGTGCTTTAGCCAGATATGAGCAGAATTGAATCATATGGTTACCTCAAATGGCCGATGGTGACCAACGACGGGTGGTAGTAGATCGGTGGAGGCTGCTTCAAATCCCTGTACTTGAACCCCTTGAACATGTATAACAACAACGGGAAGAGTCAGCACACCTGGAGGACGGTCAGTCCTCAAGGCCAGTTATATATTTAATGGCTTGTTTCCCCCATAGCGGCTTGGGAGCAGACTGGAGGTGGGATCGAGTCTTGGACCAGGCCGAAGGGCCCGTGTTGCTAGCTCAATTACTGATTTTCAGCACCTCTCTGCAGGGCTATACACTACCCTCCCAGTACCACATCGTCCAATTTGACTAATTGAGTGGTGGTGCGCAGGGGTATGCCTTTCATCCTATAAGAGAGCAGGAAGATGTAGTCCATCATGCCTGTCAGCACCGCTCTTGAATTTGAGCGTCGCCGACGGGATCTCCCACTCAATGCGCCCTAACCACTCAGTCCTTGCCTACGCTATGTCTCTAATTCCTGTCCACGAACTGTCTTATTTGTTTCTCCGGCTCTGCTCCTCAGCCAGGACCAATACCTGGTCACGTGACATTGTTGATTTTTCGCGATGGTTCATCGTGGTCATGTGATATCACGTGTAAGAGGGCAGAGCACCTTGGTCTACAATATACAACAATAGAATCTGCTTGAGACATAATCTGAGCTGAAGGGATCATCGCTAATCAAGATTTTCAAGTCTAATTGCTCTCTTGCCCTAGGAAATGGCTGCCTAAATGTAATGTGGTGTCTGACGATGTTACTCTATATATATATCTCGGATGCCATGCATTCGGCAATCGTTTGTCACCCACAATAAAAACTCAATTGCAAACAACTTGAACTACGGCATCCGGAGTATCCTGAGTTCCTAACCCGGCTCGACACAGTGACATTTCTCAATCTTGAGTCCACTCATTAAGAAATATCAGTATTGTGATGTTAGGAACTCACAAATGTGTATATGTGTAAAGCTAACAACATTCAGCAATTCGATTGGAACTACTAGTATCCATGCACTTACTATTCATTATGGCATTCCTCGGCGATATGGTGTTTCAACCTTCCCGGTTTCATGATGAAAAATGAAGTTTCCTCTTCTCCACTTAGCCCTTTAATTTCCCACATTGCGGCGCTACTGTAAGCTCACCGCGGAGCTCATTTATTATAGAGTTTGGCAGGAACCAACCCAAGTTCCTGGGTAAGCTTAATGTAGACCAAGTACTCCGTAGAATTTGCACGGTTCAGCCAGAATTGTGCGTGGATCGATGCCAGGATCACAGAAGAAAGCGGCAAGTGGGGAACAGTTGAGAACAGCGTGAAGAAATCCCAAGATCGAATCTTTTTAGAGGGTCCAGCTGTTGAATACTCCGTAGTTAGCTTCATATGATCTGGAGTCTGAGTATAAAGTCTATCTAGGCTTTCCCCACGTGGTAAAAACGATCTCCGTTGCATGCTTTCGGGGATCTTGGCGTGGTTATACCTTTGCTTGTAGTGGAATATATAGTTGTGCTGTGTTTTCCCTGCCTTTCTCTGAACCTTCAGCTTTTCGGCAAACCGGGGGCGCTGGATGAGGCTCGGCAAGTAGGCCGTCTCTCTTGCAGCAAGCTAACCTAGTGTCCCAAACACTGCAGAACTCAATAGCTTTCCAGATTCTGTAGGGCTGGACATGAGGGTGGCTTGTGTTTCCATGGTACCTCGTTGAACGTTCACCCAGGTCCGGCATTCATCGTGGGGCGTCAGCGGGACAAGACACCGAGCCGAGGCCTGCAGAACTTTCTAGGAGTATATAGAGACCGGAATTAAAATCCGGCGTGCACCATTACCCTATTATATCTAAGCGAACTGGCTACGAAACTCTATTCGAGAGTGCATACGAAAAAGGGCAATCACTTCCCGCGGAGGCCCACTGAAGCTCACGATACTTTTGCGTCTCCTATGTAAGAAATTCTCCAAGAAGGTTTAATCATTTTGGATACTGTCGTTCCTACCCGAGCAAAAACAGCACTGTATGAATGGAGCTGGGTGTTGAGCGATGTTGGGTTACTGTTGAATCTTCCCCAGCAAAAGCTTACTTGCAGTTCTTCAACCCGCGGCCCCCGAGAAACCCGTTGAAACAAACCATTCCTTGACAACTGAAGCGAAAGGAGTTTTATCATCGAGTCGAGAATGTCTGCAGCAAGAAACCAAGTTAGGCGCCCCGGTGATCCCCCTATAATTGCCGCCACATACAGATTCTTGGAATCTCAAGAACCGACTCGCTCTTTGCGATATCATCTGGCCTTGGAGTGTGTCAAAGTGAACGCACTCCCCAGACTTAAGCAGCCAGACTGTAGTGCAAAAACTTGGATCTCGTCTTAACTGACGAACCCAGAGTACTTATGGCATGTAATAGTACTTCAATGTATGGTTCGACAACTGCAACCTGTTCCAGGGACATAACACCTCATCAGACCACCCCTACGTGGCCATGTAAGAAATAACCTAGGTTGAACACGTCCACTCGGGGACCATGGAAGGGTTTCAAGCTCGGGGTTCAAGTACGGTGGCTTCCCATAGGATCACACATTGATGTCGGTACTCGGTACTTGCCTGCATTGATTGCTCTACATGACATGTTCTCCGCATGAGCCATGTTCTGATTTAATTAATCACCCTTTGAGACAGGTACCGGGAGAATGGGAGATTACTCAGTGGGGTTTAGTCAAGATCCTGGCCAGTATCATGATTGTGGACCATCCGAGGCAGTGAGCCTGAGTTGGACTTTCCTCTTTTTACTTAGATTGGAAAACGTTTCGGCTAGTGGACGTCGCATGAATTTTTAGGGCCCGCTTGGTACCTGAAGATTTAAGCGATTTCGGCTATTGGCAAAGCTGCCCCGTCTGAGTGGAGATGTGGGGATTCCCATTACTCAAAACCTCGGAGGACATGCGGAATACATGCGGGCCAGACCTAAATCCCTATTTTTGATTTGCAATGCCTCAGCAGCACTAAAATAGACCCAAACGAAGGATGTGGACTACTTAGTAGGCGACGGCAGATTCAGGGCAACAGTATGATCATATACCGGGTATTATTACTGTCTCCTGAACTCTCAAAGTTAACATGTAGGGGATATGTCAGGTTTTTTTTCTTTTTTCTTTTTTTTTCTAGAAATCAGAGATCGTCATGGCCGCTGTAATGTTAACTCTATAGTGCAGAAGACTTCGGTAGTTGAAAACCATGAATGGCGCGAAGGGTCACTTCGCTTCCAAGCATGGTAAGGCTAGATCTGCCCGGGGAAGCCTTCGTTCCCCACCGGAAGCATTCCTTCTGGCTCGATCTGTGCCGTGCGCAAGCTAAAGAATGTTGCGATCCCTAGTAGTTTCATGGCTCGTGAAAGCTCAACCGCATTGTAGATCCCACCCTATTTCTGTCGTTCTCCCGGCGTCCTTATTTCCCTCCTAGTCGCCATGTAAAACGTAGTTTTCTCTTTCTTCTTGTCACTGGATAGCGAAACGCGATTTAGTCCTCATCTGGGGTGTCTTACGGTTGTTCTCTTCGCCCCATTTCCCTCATTTTCACGACTTCAACTGCGCAGACGCACTCTCTTTCCGTACTGCCGCACTATTGTCACTTCAGCACTGCCTCGGCAGTCCACAATTTCATCATCACTTGACTAGACAATGAGCTGACCTCTCCCTGATTTAACATGTCAAGCCTTGTCATCGGGACTGCGCCGGAGGGTCTGGACTTGTCCGAGAATAGAATCGCTCAGAATGATGCCACTGTTGGTGTTGTCATGGGAATTGCCACAATTTTTGTGGGTTTGCGATTCTGGGCCCGAACGACAAATAAGAGTGCCGATTTAGCATATGATGACTGGTTTGTCTTGGTAGCATTGGTGTGTATCCTGGATTCTTCATGGTGGCGGGTGGAACTTTCGACTGAACGTTTTGCATAGGCGTTCGCATATGGGACGGGTGTATGTTGTATTTTAGGTATTTTCATCGCCAGCTGCGGATTCCAAATCCTGAACGGCGTTTCAACTAACAAGGAGTGTTCTCAGGAGGTGCATATGGAATAGGAAAACACATATGGGTGGTGGATCAAAACGATGTCCTGATGAGCATGAAAGTATATGCCCCGTGCTCTCGCTCATAATATGGTCCTGGGAAACTAATGGGAATTTACAGATCATCTTCGCTTATGTTATTCTTTATGCCACGACAGTGCCCATGGTCAAATTGTCCGTGCTTCTTCTCTACCGCCGGATTTTCCGCCTCACCTGGACGTTGTATTTCTGTGCATTTCTCTCCATCGGATATACCATCTCAGTTGCTACCACCATCTCGCTGGCTTGCGTCCCCTCATCTTTCTTCTGGACTCAATGGGTATATCCTTTGAGTGGAGGCCACTGTCGGATCAACCTCTACCAATTCTATTTGTGGAACGGTGTGGCCAACCTGTTCACCGATGTCATCATTCTATGTCTGCCCATGCCGATCGTCTGGGGCCTGCAGATGCCCAAGGCGCAGAAATGGGCCATTAGCGGTATCTTCCTGCTCGGTGGATTGTAAGCCACATACCTCACCATCAGCATCTAAACAAGAGCCTAACAAACCTATTCTTGCAGCGTCTGCGTGGCCACGATTGTCCGCATCTCCGCCATCACGAAAATGAAAGATTCCGTCGACATCACCTGGGTAATCGGCGACGCCATGATCTGGTCCAACGTCGAGCCCTGCATCGGTATTGTCAGCGCCTGCCTACCGACTCTGCGGCCGCTCCTGCGCCAAATCCCCCAGCTGAGAGTCTGGGGGCTTTTCGGCAGCAGTGGACTCTCGGGCAATTACAAGATGACCGGCGACGGCACTTCCGGCACGGGGCAGCAGGATACCGGCAACCGATCGGCATATCGCTCCTCGACTGGTAAGAAGCAGCGATTCTGGCCAGAAGATGACGAAGTCTACCTGACTACCGACGTAGGACGTGCTGCCAGAGAGGAAGGCATCATCCCGTCCAACGGCTCGGCTGCCTCCAGCCAGGAACCCATCGCTATGCAGATCAGGGTGAAGCATAACTTTGATTGGAGGGAGGACCACCCATGACCTACTGAGAAGTGTCTGGCCTTCAACCGTGCGCTGTACTTTTTCGGGTGATAGAGCCGACTAGTCATGTTTGCTCTATCATATGTCTTACGACTGTATACCCATCTATTAGTATTCAACCTTTCCTTTGTTTTTCTTATTTACACTCAATGATGTACATACCGCCCCCGAAAAATACGTCTTGTCAGAACGGTGAGATACGTATCTACTAGATAGTGCATATTTGTCAGATTATGTATCGTCAGATACCCCTTATTCATTCCCCTGGATACATTCAAATTACTAAGTATTTACTCGCTAACAACACCGGTAACCAATCCCCGCACACTGAAGTTGCCCTTATCCGGGTATGGAGTACCGAAATCACGAGCAAAGTCAATATTGCTCTTCGGTGTCTCATACAGCTCGATATCAAAGCGACGGACGACCGTAGCGATGACCAGGAAGAGCTCTGCATAGGCCAAGCTGTGTAACAGTTAGCAAACGTAGACATTGTAGAAGGGCATTGCTCATCTTACTTCAAGCCCACGCACATCCGGCTTCCCTTTGAAAAGTTCACCAGATAGCGGTCCAATCGCTGGCCCTTGGCAGCGGCCCGGATCCATCGTTCTGGGTCAAACGCGTGGGGATCAGGGAAGATTTCAGGATCCATCAGGGTGAAGTAATTGCTTTCACTGACGGAGGTCTAGATTGTTGTCAGTATCGGGGTTGATCCTCACAGTTTCCCCAGCTGAACGGGGCCGAACTCACTCCAGGCGGGATCGTGTAGCCTTTATATACCAGTGCTTCGGTCGGCGCCACCCTTGCGGATCGATTCGCGATACCGGTGGAAAGACGCAACGACTCGTTGATTACTCCGGACTAAACCGGCATTAGAAATGCAATATTATTGAACATGAGACGGGGCCCAAGACATACCATGTATGGCAGTTTCTCCAAGTCATTCCAGGTCGGCTGAGAATCCGGCGTCGGCATCACTTGTTTCAGCTCCTCGCGCAGCTTGTTCCGGATATCCTCCCTAGAGAACAGATGCCACGCCCCAAGACCAAGCGTTCTCGCCGTCGTCTCGGTCCCGCCAATCACCAAAGCAAAGCCCTCGTTCATGAGCCTATGCGCCGATCGCATATGCTGTGGCATGGATGGCGCGGCAAGCATGTCGATCAAAGTCCCGCTCTGAGTCTTCGAATCTGCCTTGTCCAGCGCCGCAGCGGCCCGGTCATAGAGTTCCTTCTTCTGGCTTGCAATCGCAAACGCAGGGGGATTCAACAGCTGCAAAAGAGGAAGAGGCATGACATTCATAAGCTTCTGCAAGATGGGAAAGAAGTAAAGCAGATGCGCCAGCTGGAAGAGGCCATTGATGCCATCACGGACTCTGGCATTGAAGCCCTCCTTGTCGAGGTTATTGGGATTGAAGCCGTACGCATACTGGTGGATGACATCGGAGGTGAGCGCCGCGAACGCCGCGTCCAGACTGATCACCGTGTGCGCACGACAAGCCTCCTGGAAATGGCCCACGAGCTTGCTCAAACTGTCGCGGATCAAGTGCTCTTGGTTCTCAATCGCGCGCTTGGAGAAGAACTTCGCCACGGGTGCGCGCCGCTGGTGATGCGTCTCCTGGTCGATCGCCGCAAAGCCCGACCCTTCCAGGTCAAACTGCGCGACTAGGACGGGGTCCTTCTCGCGTCTGCGAGCGCTGGAGGCGTAGATTTCGTCGTAGTACTCCGAGTCCTTGATGTGGACTTCACGGGGGTTTATGCGGATAATGGGGCCTGTTCTCGTTCAGTTTCGGCTCTATCACATAGGTAGAGGATGGAATAAGCCTACCATAGACCTCATGCAGTCGTTCGAGCTCCCAGATAAACAGGCCGCCTCTGATAATGTTGTGGTAGAATTCGTATCCATGCGTGATCGCAGCCAACTTGGGGCCGGGGATGTGGCTCAATGGGTGAAAATACAGGCGATAGATGCTCCGACACACCAAATAGGCAACCAAACCTATCCCTAATATCACCAACACGGCCATGATGACGGTTGCATTACTCGCAGACAACGATGAAGGAAGGAACAATAACAGTCATACTGAGTCAGTTATCGTTATTTTTCTAGCCGGGGGGTCCCTGTCAGTCGCAGGGATGGCACAGCGTAATTCAACTGCCCCTATTGGCTTTTCGAGTGAGGGTACAAGTGTCACCATTGCTCATGCATCCCACTAAGCACTAGCTTTGAGACCGTTGAAGTGTCCGTCGGCTGCCCCCGCTGCCCGGACGATATTTGACCCCGTTAGCCGTTGGTCCCATCTTTTGCCGATGGCTATTGGCTGTACCGCCTGCCATGGGTAATAAGATAAGGACGCCGTTGTCGTAGGATAGACGGCTAGTCTTACGAAGGTAATATGGCCGCCTCGATTCTCCGCATTATGAGATTTCTGTCTGATTACTGAGCAGAGTCACACAGCCGGCCGGTTGCATTGGAGACATGAAATATAGCACTAGTCGAAAGAAAGTACTAGTCTAGTTTTTGACCGTGTTGTATGCACTCCTAGGACTCTACCTGGTTCTTCCTCACGCGAGACTTGGAAATTGTTCGGAAGAAATTGGAAACACAAAATCATACCACTTTGACTTCTCCGTAAGCCGAGGCCTGGGGAACTATTAATCTAACAGAGTAGACGCTAGGAACGGTTTACGGGATTTGCCTACACCTAAAATTAGAGGGCTCGCGCTGGACGGGATCTGCTGTTCATTTTCCCTTTACGACAGGCGGTGAATCTATTACTGGGAGCATAACAATTTCCCATTTCCTCCATTTCCTCGCGTCGGAATACAAGCTGAAGACGGGTTAGTGTCGTGTTAGCTCCTCTTGACCATCTTGGCTTAGGGCTAACCGCCAGCCGTGTGGCATGTGACCCAATATCAAAAGGGGCTAGTTAGCCTAAACAATCAAGAGGCTCAAAATGCATGTAATTCTACCCTTGAACTAAAACTACAAAAACCGGATGAGGTAGGGTACTTAACTGCCGGCATCGTCGGAGTCTTGGGGCTTCCTCCCCGGACATGCAAACAATGCTCGGAGTGCCGATCACCGAAAAAGATGCCCTAATCACAGTTCCGAGAACGGAAATACATCAACATACGGAGTACGGAATACAGAGTAGTGAAACTGCCATCGTTTCTCACGTCCTGTCTCTATTTGACCCTATTTATGGACCCGCAATTAGCTGGAATATTTTTGAGGCGCTCTCTTTCCAAGCCCCACCATTCCCGGATCCCGGATATCAGAGGTGGCCGGCCCTAGCATAAAACCTAATGCTATAGTCAAGAGGTTTGTATAATCTCGTACAGAAACAAATTCTTCAATAAGGTATCAGTGACACTCTATGTAAACCATATGTCTGAAAATACAGTCTATGTACATGCAAATACGCATAGCGGACAGGTGGATGGGTCTGCTAGCCTAGGAGGCTGCTGTTGTGAATTTTGTATATTTATTTTGTATGTGTCGCAAGGCCAATCGCGGACCGTATTTTCCTTCTTGAAAATTCAATACTATAAATTCTACGCTACAGCAAGAGCATTGATCATGCCAAGTTGGCCTACGGCGGTATTGCACATTCTTGTCTTTGGTCTTTTTGACAGCTTTGTATGTCATCCCAGTCGTTAACGTAGGACCTCAAGAATCCGGCATTTTTTTTGAGCAACATAACCCACCTGCCACCAACTCCGCATCAGATGCATGGCGTATGTGTGTCGAAGGGTAGTGAACTATACAGCCCCGTAGTGCCAACACGTTATTGCTGCATTGCTAGACAGGCTGTAGCTAATCACATGCGTCAGTGTCATATTTGTCCAACAACACTCTACGAATTGACAGTTATTTCTTCTGGGTTGATATCAGTCTGGGTACGCGATAAGTAGCGAAAGCCACAGAAGATGACTTGACCCAGAGAAATCAGCTGCTTCTCGTTTTGACCTGCGGTCTCGATAAAACCCTTTCGATGCTATCTCATTCTCTTCCAGCGTAATTCCCATCGCTTGAGTCACTGGCAAGGGTTTGATAACGGCAAACAAATGCTGTCATCTGTCCGATTGGCAACGATTCAGTATGCATACGTGTACTCCACTCAGTCTCAGCAGAACCAGCCATGTCCACACAGCTACCGACACGATAAGACCATGAACACAACGATCATGACTGGGTCCTGGAGCGTTTCATTCTATCCGCGCTTCATCTCCCAGTCGTGGTCACCACCAGAACACGAAGATGAGTTACATGGTTCGTCTGCCGTAACGAAGGATGTCGTTGCTGCCACACGTGCTCCTAACAACCCAGGACTGGAGTCAGGGTGAGGGTCAGAGTCGGAGCATATGCCGGGGGTACGATAACCGTATCCTCATACGGTTAGTGATAACAGGCATGCATCGACCAGCCAATGCCCAGAATGGATTCTAGGCCCCTTGTCTACTTCAGCAGACGCCATACAACGATATGGCCCGGTAATCCGATCGGCGTCTTTGTGGATTATCCGCTAGCTATGGGAACCGCACGTTTATTCCTATCCTAAAACGCATACAGCCATTGTATGTGCGTAATATCGTCGCGGCGCACAATGATCAGGTAGGCATTACTTTTCTTTACACATCTTTCAACGCAACGCGATAATGCAACGGCCGTATTACGATATCCACGGCCCACTAAACTCCTGGATGCTAACCATTATTGTCGGGGAGATTAGCGACTGCAGAGCCACCTACTAGGGGAAGGGTGTTTAAGGCAGATGATTGAATTATAGAACTATCGCATGCAGCAGCCACCTCCATGCGTTCCGAAATGAGCACCGACATATGTCTTCATGATGCCGCCAGTGGCACTATATTGTGATATAATGACGGTGGATACAATGGATGATGATGGAAACGTTTCCTTGCATATCTATGTTTTGGCATTGCTATACCCCGTAAACATTGCCCTTTTTGGAAGCGCTCACCAGATTGCAACAATGCTTTCCATTTCTCTACCGCAAGACTTTGTTTCATCAATTTGAGCGTCTATTTCTTGATTGACTCATGGCGCCTTTCTGCATTCTCTGCTCACTGGAATTCTATATGCTCAGCCGCTCACTGTATCGTTCCTCGAGACCGTGTTTAAGATACCTAGTTCAAGTCAGTCAAAGCATGCGGAGACTTTAAGATTCCATGCCTGAAGATCTTGGAGCACTTACCATCTTGGGAAAAAGTAAGGGGTTAACCGTCTCTGGAAAAGATGCACCTGATGAAGGCGACGATCTCGGTACATCATATAATTTAACAAGTATATCTACCAATTATGTTAAGTTGACATGTAGCTGCAGAGACTTGAGCAGACTATAACAGACCATCCACACCAAGCAGGTTACTAAAACCAAGTAGCTTCTCGGGCAGGCCAATGGCGAGCAAGATGTTCCAGCTAGCAGATCAAATCATGCATGAATGGCTGTAGCGCCTTGGCTACTAGCATGGGCCAATTGACATGATGGGGTGTCTGTCGAGTGAAAGTACTACTAGTGATCATCGGTGAACCCCGCACGACATGGCCTTACTTATAAGAAGCCACAGATAAGCTGTGCCGGTCCTGTTTCGTTTCGGGGGTTCGTACTTGACACCGGATGATCCATTTGCCAGCCACGGTAAAACACCATGACTCTACCCTGGTATTACATTGGAGGATTGGCTGCTATCGGCTACCTCGTTGTCAGGAGCATCTATCGTCTTTACTTCCACCCTCTCAGCAAGTTTCCCGGACCAAAGCTAGCCGCCCTGACCCACCTATATGAAATGTACTATGATATAGTCAAAGGCGGGAAGTATCTCTGGGAGATGCAAAGAATGCACGATCAATATGGTGGGTCCTGCAGTCGGGAACCTCCGAGCTATGGACGGGTCTAACAAGGAGATACAGGCCCTATTGTGAGAATCAACCCGCGAGAGCTTCATATCAAAGATCCCTACTATTTTGATCCCATTTATACCGGAAAAGGGCAAGCGAAGGATCCGTACATGGTCAGACCATTTGCCACTCCCCAGTCTACCGCCGCCACAGTCGAGCATGACCGCCATCGCTACCGTCGAGAATTGGTGAACCCCTTCTTCTCAAAGAGGTCCGTCACGGCCATGGACCATATCGTCCAGGATAAAGTAGATAGGGTATGCGATCGACTCGCACAGGCAAACGAAAAGGGAACCGTGGTCTCTTTGGACGACTTATTCGCTGCGTTAACGGCAGATGTTATCTCTCACTATGCATATGGCGAGAGTCTGGGCTTTCTTGATACAAAAGATATGAAGAATGAGTTTCGAGATGCCGTTGCTTCTGCAGGATTTCTATGTCACTTCACACGTTTCTTCTTCTTCGTGTCGATGATTGCGGATGCGGTGCCTGGACTGGTTGAATGGATGCAACCGAGCTCAAAGGGATTGTTTGAGGCCAAACGCATGATTGAACAAATGGCAAAATCTGCTATCGAGAAAGACCACGTCAAGGATGCACATTCGAGTAAAACAATCTTTGACGCCCTTTGTGCCGACTCGGTGCGACCTGAGGAGAGAACGGTTCCAAGAGTCCGGGATGAGGCGATGGTTGTTTTTGGTGCAGGTACGGAGACTACAGCAAGAGTGTTAACAATGGGGTCCTACTTCCTCTTCCGAGATGCACCACGTTTAGAGAAATTACGAGCGGAGGTAAAGACACTCATGCCAGACTCGACCAGCCACGTACCTCTGGTCCAGCTGGAGCAGTTGCCGTATCTAGTATGTCTCTTCCAAATATTTTGAGAGCACCGACAGGAGGAACTAACCACATACGCCCTAGACCGCAGTTATTAACGAGTCTCTTCGGATGGCGCATAGTGTAACGCTGCGATTGCCGCGGGTTTCGCCAACAGCATTGGCATATAAGGACTACATCATTCCTCCAGGGGTAAGCTACTCAGGGCTCATGGCGTTAGTGCGATTTAACACGATCTTCTTAGACACCAGTCAGCCAGTCAATTTATTTTATGCATATGGACCCGACCATTTTTCCTAATCCAGAGACCTTCAATCCGGAACGATGGCTTGAAGCCTCGAGCAAGGGTGAACGGCTGACTAAATTCTTGGTTCCTTTCACAAAAGGGTCTAGGATGTGCCTAGGGTTGAAGTAAGTCTCCTACGCAGTAATATCTGCATCACATTAACCTGACGTTCACAGCCTGGCGTACTCCGAGCTATACCAGATGTTTGCTTCCCTAGTTCGTCGCTTCGACCTAGAGATCCACAACACACCACCAGAGAGCGTTCGTATAACGCGAGACTTCATAATTGGATTGCCCGAGGCAGACTCTCTCAAGGTGCATAGTTTTGTCACTCAAACTCTGTGACTACATTGAGATCGCTGGAGTTAGAAATGTTTCCGACTCAGGCGCTCGTTTTTTAACTTCCAAACAAGACAAAGCAGTATATCATGCGACCGATGGATGGGTCTTAGAACCACATTGTAAATATCCAGAGTTTTATTTCCTTCTACTTTTCATTTTGAACAAGTCTATGTATACCTGGATATATTATTGGTGAATATATACTCTGTCTTGGTCCTCAGACTTCGTGTACCCGAAGGGGAAAAATAAACGGCCTAGCCTCTGAATTTTATTTTAAGAAAAGAATGGCACCACACGGGCGAGACGAACGTCTAATTGGAAATATAGATACTATCCACTAGAGCAGTTGCTAGAAGATTGGCTTGTCACTTGGTATCAAATATATGGGACAATATTAGATAAATAATGGCTAACAGCTGCAAGCATTGTAGAATCCGTAGATTGTAGAAGAGCTCGAACTAAACCAGGTCCAGCCTTTTGCTAATTATGGAGGCGATAGAATTTCACGCGATTGCAAGTATTTAGATAACTAAGACGAACGTGGTGTGCCTTAAAAAGTGGTCAGACACGCGGTTCTTTCTCGCCTGATTCTGAGCGCTTTCAGATTGGGCCAAGCATTGCACGTTATCCTACCCCATCTCTCGCCTAATCTGGGGCGTACTCACGTACAACAATTGTCGAGCCTTGTAGCTCACTCTATCACATTGTAGTGTTACACTGCATCTGCCACGCGTGCCTTATTGGCCACATAGGCAGGGAGGGTTGCGTGAACCAATGGATAACCATCCAGCTGTGGTCCTCCATGTAGTCAGATGCGGTAAGAAGCCACCCAGTGGCACTTGTTTGTTCTTGTGGGTCTATGTTCGCAGGGAGATCCTGGAGGGCCGAAAATATTTCTTCTTTACATTAGGCGTAAGTTTTGTAAAAGCGCTCTAGCCTTCTGGCTCAGCCCTTGTAGGGCTTCCCACTGAGACCAGGCGTTTAGTTCCACCCCCACAGAGTAAGGTATATGCGGTTCAAAATCTTATTCGAGCTTAATGCATTAAGGGGAGATCTGACATGTCATATTTTGTGATAAGACTGTCAAACAACTATAATGCGTAACGTCCTTATGAATGGGCGATGGGGGTGAGTATGGGTTTGAGGGCTACTAGTAGCAATTCACATTGAAAGCCACACCTTATACTAAATTTTCTCAACGTCTAATGGGAATGCATCAATTTGAAGAGTTCTTATCTCTGTCTACATACACGGATCAGGCCTCCAGTATGGATCAACGCTGTCCATTTTATCCAATAGCAAACTTTGTCTAGCCAGCTCGTGCGTAGTCATCGGCCTAGAAGGGTAATCCTTGTACGAGATTCCATATCCCCGGACAATAAACCTAGCCAAGACTTGCAGCTGACGTGTGATGCAACAGGATGTAGGGTCCTACGTGTATGTTGAAAAAGTGACTTTAAATATGGAAGAGTCCCCTAGCCAAGATGTCAGATGGGTTCTAAATCACACAAACATGGATCTAGGTCTGGAGATCCGTCCTTGTTATCTAAATGCCACCTTACTCATAGCCTTGGTCATGGGATTGTATGCCTGGCGGAGTTACAGGAAGGTTTGAGCTATTGGTTCGCTTATCATACTACTGTCGCTGACATCGCTCAGTGCCCTGTGCGAACGCCGCCAATTGTATCACTTACAGTCTGTGTTTGCTTCTGTCTTTCGCCTGTACTTGTATTTACCTTCGTATAGGAGGACGAGAGGAAGAATGACCTCCTTGAAGCATTGGAAAGGCAAATCCAACAATATGGTCCAGTCATTGGGTTGCGCCGAGATGGGAGAGTATGCACATTGCTTAGCACTCATGTCTGTCATCCACCGCTTACAATCCCACAGGTTGAATACATCGTCTCCGATGAACTAACACCCCAGGTGTTGACAGACGATGCAGTGTTTAGCTTCGAGCTAGGGATAGCGAAGGTTGGCCTATTTCATGACGATATAAAAAATATGCAGCACATGTCTACTATTGCTAAGTGCGTTGTAGATCTTGAACCTTGAGTTCCTACGCACATTATTCGGCAATTCCATCTTTCACGATATTGACTCCGTGGTTAATACCCTCTTGACAAAGCATTTGGACACGATGATCCACCGCGGTAAGGTATTTCGTGTTCGCTTGTCTTTCTCGACCTAATCTGGAAGTAGTATCTCCTATATTCGAGAGGAACATGGCTGAACTCCTGGAATCCCACTCAGAAGACTCTATTAGCTTCTTAACTCATCTGCAGAGGACGGTAGCAGAGGCAATGATGTCGATCATTTTTGGAGATGAATGTACCTCATCCTAATACTTCACCTCGCTGAGACTAACTATTACCTAAAGGACATAATACAATCATTTGACAGAGACATCGTGGTCGATACTGCCGAAGGCGTGGCGGAACTGATAGGGACTTTCCGGAGTCGCTCGATGCTAGCCCAATATTTCCCTGTCCTATGGCAAATAGTAACATGGTAAGTCTCTAGGACTCACTTAAAGAACCGAAATAAGTAACACCAGACCAGGATGAAAGTTGTCATATATAAGGTCGTAATCCGGTTCGGCCTCGCATTTGGACCTCTCATATGGAAGCAGACATCGGCTGCTTTGCAGGACTCCAACAAGAAGTCTTTAAAACCCGATGTAAGAGCATCACGATTGTTAAATAAGCTCGGGACTAACTGACTTGTCAACTTGAGATATCTCTCCTCCGGATCCTGGTCCAAACAAGTGGAGCTACGAACGGCCGTATAACGCTCAGCTCCCGGCTTTGGATATGCGGACTAGTCGTCATGTTCATTTTTGCCTCTGTGCATCAGACGTGAGTCCATCCCCATGTCTTGGTCTGCATATACATGCATTAAATAATGAATGCAAGGGTCTCAATCACAATGTGGACTATATTCCAATTAGCCCTGCGCTCGGAATATCAAGATATCATACGACGCGAGATCCACGACCTCACCGGCCGTGACTCCTCGTCACCAATACCTATCTCCGAGCTTGACATGCGGACCCTCCGCAAGGCTTCACGCACGGACTCGTTTATCCGCGAAGTGCTCCGGACGAAGGGTGACGCCGTGAACCTGGTACGGATGGCGCGCAGGGATGTGCAAATGGGAGACTACATCGTTCCGAAAGGTACCTTAACTCCCAAATAACCCATTTTCAGGCTACTAATTTAGGGATTAGGATCCCTAGTGTTGCCACTAGTATCCTTATCGAATCACTCTCCGCGTTACAATGATGGCGACCCGAAGAAATTCGATGGAATGCGCTGGGTGGAGAAGCAGAAAGCAGCCTCTACCACTGATCCCGGGCATCTTTCATTTGGGCTCGGTAGGTGGGCTTGCCCGGGGAGGTTTCTAGCTGTTGCGGGTATGTTCCGAGGGCATTTACAGTTGGTGGGGAATCGGAATGCTGATGTTATGCAGAAATCAAACTGGCGGTTTTCGCGCTGCTTGCGGATATGCGGTTGGAACTCGTCGGTGGGGTGTATGATGTGGCTGATAAGTTTAATATAACGGGTAATCCACCTGAGGGGGAGTTGGTGTTCAAGCGGATTTCTGTGCGTTGAAGCGAAGGGTGATCTATATCATCGTGACTTCATGGGTAGGATCGTTGTGCATGAACTCGGGGGTTTGTTGCCACCATAGCTCAAGATAGTCGCATAGCTAAATAGTATACCGATGGTATAGAATATCTTGATCTATGTGTGCAGTCTATGTGCATTCAGTATTCAGAAGGAATACATAGAATATAACCTATAATTTACACTCTATAGGCTCAGTGATTGGCCTGATTCAGTAACCAGGAGCCGGAATCTAATATACAACCTCAGGGACATGTACGAAGAGTGCCAGTGATAAGTATCAAATAGGGCAAGACATAAGCTCCATAAACCAGCTATCATACAGACTATCATCTCCAAAGAACGAAGCATCCGGCATTTGGATCCCATTGAGATCATGTGTAGAAGGCTCAACGGGGACCATATCATCGGAGCCAAGCTTCGATTCCCATTCAGGGCGAAGCGATCGAAGAATCTGGGCTGACCGAGAAAATAAGTCCCCATTGGGATAGTTGCTGTTGTCGATGCCAACAACAGCAGGGACTTGCTCCAAGGCATTCACGAGTCGATTCAAAATAGAAAGGGGATTTGCAGTCTGTTGAACGAGGTTCTTGTCCCAGTTTGGGGCGTCGAGTGTTGCAAGGCGGTAGAGGGCGAGAAGACATCGAGAGACCTGGGAGAAAATGGCGAACGAGAACGAAACGTATCCTGCTGGGGGTATCATAAGAAGAATATTGAACCATGAGTTAATTGATGTGAGAGCGTGGAAGAGATGGTCCTGGCGGGATGCATTGACATCGCAGGGAGTTAAAGATAAAGAGGAGGCGGCGATCTCAAGCTCGTTGCTATAGAGATGTAGTAGGATGACTGGCTGGTGAGTTAGCTACAGGGGACTTGTACTGATAAAAAAGGGAAGGACTAAAACGCGTACCATCATTCGGTGAAGATTTGAATATTTCTGCTTTCACGTTCGAGAATAGGGCCGCCTCGTCATCAGCAAGTCCGGTGCCTTCGGATGCATCATGCAACGATACCTGCCGAGTTCTATTTTTCTCAACAATGAGACGCATTCGAACTAGTTGGACTAGGATCTCGTCGTTGACGCATTGTTTTTGTTCGTCTAGAATTTGGAGAGATTCATCCAAATGTGTTGTCCATCGAAACGTTTCTATCCTTTGAAAAAATGATGATATGCTGTGCAGATAGGTCAGTACATCTCCATACCATCCTAAGAATATATTGAATATACATTGATGTTATCAAGTAGCAACCCAGCGCCGCTCTGCGCTCTTCCATAGTACGAGGCGTAGAATGTTTCGGGGACTGGTGAAGATTGAAGGTCGATGGAGTTACCTGGACCGGTTTATTCAGACCCAGGTCAAAGACCAATGATGTCGCCAGATGCGTGAAGACAGATAGAAAGGGCTTTGGATGGAATTGGTGGAATTGATAACTCGCCCTTTTGCTCTGAAGTCAGATCGCGTACTTTATTATTGACATAGGCATCTCACCACCCAATAAATGTCAACAGCCCTAGTAAAAGATCAATACTCTTATCAGATTGAACTACCATTTCTTGTGCTACTATTTGACGGATCTTGAGACCAAGTTCATGCTGGCGAGCGGTCGACTTGGTGCTGATCGCCATGATGCAAAGCCACAGAAACGGTCGCTCTTTGTGAAGTTGCCCAGCACTTTTGTCGAAGGGAATATGAACGAATGGAAAATACTGCAATTTGAACGTGCGGAAGTGATTAAGGCATTCTTCAGACTCATGTGAGGAGAGATCACTTATGCCCGGTGAGCATATCGAGTCGGTCGTAGCTGGTGTACTTGCATTAGTTTGATCTCCATCAGGGCAGTTCCAGGGAGATCCATGGTCAGAAGTTGGTGCCGAATATTTCTCTTGGTTGATGCCGAGCTTTGAAGAAGCCTCTGCTGAATTGATGACTTGAGAAACTGCGGCACCCGTTTGGCCCCCAGCTTTCATTAATGATACGAGGCTATCTATCTTTTCTTCCAGCCGGCTTGCTTGGGAAGTAGCGGCGGGCTTTTTGGCAACACCCCGTCGTCGCACTGTCTTTGCTGGTTTACATTCTTTGTTCGTTTGATAGCATCTGGAGAAGTCAGTCTCAATGGCTAGTACCATAATTCGGGTGTTCGGCTTACCGTTGACACGGCCCGCCCGCGGCGCGAACGATGCATTTGCGCTTGGACTGGGCGCAGTTGGCGCAAGAAGAGCCGTAGGCAGCTGGCTTGTCGGCCAAAGACAGAAAATCCGAGTTCATGGCACGAGAGAGCCGTTCCCCGTCAAAAGCCACGTGGCAAGGCTTTATACTTATACTGTATCCCTTCGATCATGCGTGGAGCGATTCATGTCAGAACGGACATATGATCTTCCGCACCCGTGACTCCATCCACGTGCTACCTCATCGACCAGTTGGCAGACAAACCGGAATAAGGCTTTTACACTGCTCGTTCTCGACGAGCACGTACTTGCGACGGTTGTAAACTTTAGATGTACTACTTGTCGCATCATGCAAGTCGTTCAATGCTATAACGTAACGTTTTACCTCCCCGTTGGAAAACAGTTCTGTTAAGTTCCTGTTCGGTTTCATGTCCTTTAGGTCAAGAAGACATGATAATATCGAGGTTAGGTTATCAGGGTAAGTTTTATCTAACCGCTACTCTAATAAAATAAACTACAATAATTAATTTGATAATTATAAATCAATATGGGAGAAGTGTACAGAATTAATGGACTGATATAGTTTTACACAAGTTTAGTCCGCATCGCAGCGACATGTCCCGGAAACAAAGATGACGATCCCATGAGAATGAACTGAGGAATGAAACACAGAATCAAGCTTTTGAAACGATCTTCTTCTTCCGAATATCCTTCCATCCCATGAAACAAGAAAAGAAAAAGCTCCCTGCAGCTGTTGCTGTTGTCAAATAAAACACTCGATCGACGCTCTTAGCGTAGGCCAGAACTACACCCGGCAGCTGCTGGTCGGTGACATAGGAGCGGAACTCGGTGGGTCCTGCATGAATGATTGTCTTAGCATCGACAGACGGAGCGTATTTGGGAATCAGTGTTGAAAGACTGTTGGTGAGTATAGTGTCTGAGAAGGTGAGGAATAAGCCCCCTGCCAGAGTTTGGCTGAACATCACCAATGCAGTCGCTACGGGGATCTGTGCAGGTGGAAGGATGTTCTGAACTGCAATAACGGGCTGAGACGAAAGTTAGCGTCATCATATTTCGCAAAATGCCATCGTGCTCGGACTTACTATCTGCACGCCCAAGCTACGAGACGCCCCGAGGAGGATCTGGTATCCGATCCATTTCCCTGTTGACGTATCGGGTGAAAATGTTGACAGCAGGCCATTAGACACCGTCGTGAGGGAGGTAGCAAAAAGCATTATTGGGAGGTAGTAGCCGACTCGTTCAACTAGACACAATGTCAACAAACGTTCGGGAGATGAAGAGAGCTTGAAACGTACTAATCTTGCCCGCAAGAACAGCGCCGCATAAATGAGCCAGAATACTCGGGAGAATATGGACTCCGCTCATCAGCGGGCTGTCGTTTTTCACCGCTTGGAAATACTGAGGAAGATACCATAGCACGCAAAAGACCTGAGCCATGAGTAGTCCATAGGCCAGGCTGCTAGACCATACGACTCGTTTGCGAATCATTGAAAATGGTATCATAGCTTTGTCACCCTGCTTGTAATCCCAGAGAAGAAAAGCAATAAATGTGGCACCGGCTCCGCAGAAAAGACCAATCACCTGGGAGCTATGCCAAGTAAATTGATTTCCACCATACTGAAGCGCGAGCAGTAGTTGGATTGCAGACGGGGCAAAGAGCGCAAAGCCAATAAGATCCAGCTGACCGGGCAATTCTCTGATGGCGGTGGTGAATTTCTTCTTGGGAAGAACCTCGGGGATGTTGACAAAGGCGAGCATGATGCCAACCAGGCCGCCAATTGGAAGATTGATGTAGAAGCCTGTGATGTATAGATTAGCCTGAGAATCTCTTTTCACATGTTTTGATGAACTCACACCACCGCCATGTTGAGTACTCTGTCAATGCACCTCCTACCAATGGTCCGGCTGCTAAGCCCACCTGAGAAACTTTACTGCAAGTTAATATAGGGGCAACAGCACCAGGATAGGCGAGCACTTACCCCCCATAACAAGACCGATTATTGTGGGGCGCCTAGACATAGGTACACATCCAGAAACGATGGTGAAAGCTCCGTTCAAGATGCCTGCGCCTCCTATTCCAGCGACCGCTCGTCCAACAATCAACATTTTTGACGATGTAGCAATGCCACATATTAGTGAGCCCAACTCAAAGATGAAAAAGAAGCCCACAAAGGTCCACTATTGGGCATCGTATCAGCAAAGGAGATCAATAGTGAGAAGAAAAGGGAGAAAATTACTTTTGTATTAAGGTTCATATATATTCTGCCGGTGAGTGGTTGAAGCGCCGCACTGCAAAGAATTAGTCGAACATGGTGAGATCTAATTTGAACATAGAAACGCACCTTGAAAGTTGATATGCGCTTCCATACCAACCGACATCAACGAGCGAATGAAATTCGCTTGTGATCCGAGGGATTGCCTGATTTACATGATTAGCAGTGGTTCTCCCTCCAGTATCGCTGTGCTGACTGACTGTAGAAATAATAGACGTATCCAATAGCATAAGAAGGCATACGAGTGCGACGGCAGTGATGATATTGAACAGTTTGAATCCCGTTACCCACTGTTGCTCCTGTGTGCTGGGGCTAGGTGCCACCGTCACTTCTGGGTCAGCAGCCAGCTCTGGTTTGCGTTCAATGTTTTCTTTATCTGCCCCGTCGACATGTTGGCTTTTTGTTTCGTCCGAGGACGCGGATCGCTGAGATGACATTTCCAATATCAGTCGCACAATAACAATGTCTTCAATGGTTAAAAGCTGTAACCATGTAAATTGATGTTATAACGTCTACTAATTTAG